TTTACACATAGATTTACACAGAGCTAATATTTACTTATTAGTAAATAAGCAATATTTACTTATTATTTACTTTAAGCAATTTACTTTTACTTGCCCCAGGCAAAAAAGTAGGTTACTTGAATAATACTAAAATAAAGTGTCAAAACAAGCAAACCATACACACTTGTCTTTGACAAGGTTTAAACACTATAATAAACTAAATGTACAACAGTCTTTCCAGGTCATTGTTCTCACCACATATGGTCTATAAATACATGGAGAACTTACAAATGCTATTGTAAGGAATCATATTGTTAAATAGAGTTGTTAATAATTTTGTTCAATTGTCCCAAAAAGATCTCAATATCTCAATATTTGTGTTTTTTCAGCTACTACTTTTAGCTTAGTAGTTTTAACAAGCAAGAAAAAAAATGTTTTCAATGTAGTACAAACTACTAAAAAGAGAAAAGCAAGGGAAAAATTACCCCATTGGTGGATCCCTTTGCTTGTTTTAAGGGAAACACTTGCTTAATTTTGACATTATTTCAGAAAACAAAACCATATGTGCTACTTGTCTAGAAAATGCTTATTGATTTAAGAGAGTTTAGATATTTGAACTAGAAACAAGATAAAAGCTTCAAGTAAGAAAAGCTTTTTTTGGAGTGTGGTGCCCTTAGGATAACATCAGCATGTACAGTAGGTGTGTAAATAGAGATTTGTTTATGTCAAAGTCATTTATTTATTTTATTTTATTTTTTTCAAATGCAATATATTTTAACTTATTTTTGGCTAAAACTATTGTCAAATTAGACATTGTGGCGCATTAAGGTGGAAGACTTATTTGGTTGTAAATAACTGACTTCATGTTGGGTTTCAGATTTAGCTTTTCTTTTTTTTTTTGTATAATTGTCAATGGCGGCATAATCTGCATACATTTTTGCTATTACTATACAAAATTTTGTTTAAAAAATACAATAAATCAATAATTAAAATAGTATTTTGCTGTGGATTTTGAATAGCTGAAAATTGAATACATAAAAAAAATCGTTTTTCAGTTTTACATTGCAAATCCAATTTAAACCACTCATATAGTAAAACAAAAAAACTACATCACTTCTCTCATATAATACATCTAAAGACAGAAAATATTACTTTACAAACCTTTTTTGTACATAAATCATTAAAATATAAGCATAATATTTAAGAATAGTACTGACATTACTATAAAAAATAAACATTATATATTTACACACAATTACATAAGTAAACAAATCACATGTGGGCATGATCATTGGACAATACCATGAGTAAACTAAATTTCGTAAGTCACTTGATAGTGTGTTTGGAAAGTGTGTAAGACCTAAAATTGTTTTACAGAAGAACTATTAAAAGCTGAGACACATGAACATGAATGTATTCTTGTTTTTATGCACATACAAACACGCTGCCTTACATGTGTTGCTGTCAAAACCTTTGCCATTGACCGAGCCAATTACCACAACTAGGCCATGATTCATAAGCCTGGCAACTAGCGGACAATTTTCCATAAAGGGAATTTAATTAATTGCTATTTTGTTGCTGTTTGTGCATCCCTGATGATGTATTTATCTATGAGCCGCTTAAATATTGCAAGGAATTATGTTCATATACATGCAGTTCACTGTAATCCGTCTCGATCTCTTCTAATGAAGCTAAGCAGATTAGGGGAGATTTTTTTTACAACACTCGCTGCTAGCACCAGATTCTGTCATCTCAACACACTCCTCAATAAATCTATTCTTGCAGTGTGGATCAGTGAGATGAAAGTGGATGAGAACTTAATTGAATACTCTTATTATTTTTTAAATATACAGGACTTTAATATAGTCACTTTAGAAGCTACTTTATATTCAAAGAAGTTGTAGGGGGCCGTAAAAAACCAACGATGATGAACAACCCTAGCTTAGCTATTTTAGTGACGATGAGGTCACCGCGCTGGTTTAAGGATTGCAATTTTATGCCCTGAAATGCAAATAACAAATCTAGTCACTTTAAATGAAACGGGTCAACTAAACATTGCCATATGTGCTAAAATGTTTGCATAAGTGCAGCAAATGACTGAACTTGTCATCATAAATGACACAGATCAACACTATTTACAGTTTATACGCTCCATAAATGACTTAACTAATCTTTAATCAAATAAACAGTTCAACTGAATACCACTTTATTGACTTTACCCCTGTAAAATGCTATCTTGAGCACTAAAATGTCAAAACTAGCCAACACTATACACTCAGCGGCCAATTTATTAGGTACACCGGTCCAACTGTTCGTTAACACAAAATCCTAATCAGTCAATCTCATGGCAGCAATTCATGGTCAGTCAATCTGCTTCAGTTCAAACCAAGCATACAATGGGGAAGAAAGGTGATTTAAGTGACTTTGAACATGGTATAGATGTCGGTGCCAGACAGAAACTGCTGATCTACTGGGATTGTCACGCACAAACATCTCTAGTGTTTACAGAGAATGGGCAGAAAAAGAGAACATACCCAGTGAGTGGCAGTTCTGTGAGCGCAAATGCCTTGTTGATGCCAGAGGTCAGAGGAGAATGGCCAGACTGGTTCCAGCTGATAGAAAGGCAACAGGAACTCAAATAACCCCTCGTTACAACCGAGGTATGCAGAAGAGCATCTCTGAACACACAACACAGCCAACCTTGAGACGGATGGACTACAGTAGCAGAAGACCTCACCAGGTGCCACTCCTGTCAACTAAGAACAGGAAACTGAGGCTACAATTCACACAGGCTCACCAAAATTGGACAATATTTGGTGTCAACAACATGAAAACAAGGATCAATCCTGCCTTGTATCAATATTAGGCTGATGGTGGTGGTGTAATGGTGTGGGGGAAATTTTCTTGGCACACTTTAGGCACATTAGTACCAATTGTGCATCATGTCAATGCCAGAGCCTGCCTGAGTATTGTTGCTGACCATGTTCATCACTTTACGGCCACAGTGTACCCATCTTCTTTTGGCTACTTCCAGCAGGATAACGTGTCATGTCATAAAGCGCGAATCATTTCAGACTTGTCTCTTGAACATGACAATGAGTTCCCTGTACTCAAATGGCCACCACAGTCCCCAGAACTCAATCCAATAGAGCACCTTTTTGATGTGGTGGAACGGGAGATTCACATCATGGACGTTCAGCCAACAAATCTGCAGCAACTGAGTGATGCTATCATGTCAATATGGACCAAGATCTCTGAGGAATATTTCCAGTACCTAATAAAGTGGTCAATAATACTTTGCATAGATATATATACACTAGATATCGCATAGGGACCCTGAGCATGCGTCAATAGCGCTGCCACATTGGTACAGTGCTCCCAGGACAAATGTCATTCAACCGCACTAGTCAAGACAGTGTTTTTACGTGAAGATGCGGGACTTTAGCGCTGTCTACGGGTGTAGAAACGTGCAAACAAAGAAAACAACGCACAAAGGCAGAACATTTCATAGGTAATATTAAGTTTTTTTCTGTTTTTGAATGTTCTGAACTTTTGTGCTAATCAGGTAACGTTATGATGATAACAGTCGCAAAGCAGCTCCAACTCGCACAAAACACTTGGCTTATGCTAGTTTTGTTGAATAAAATCAGCAAACAATGCAAAAGAAATATGACAACGAGATGCTGCGCTGCCAGAAACTTGTATTATTGTTGGCTAGTGAAAAAGTCGTTCGGGGGATTCATTCACAAACGAATCGCTCCCTCCGTCAGTATGAGAAGTGAAAGCAGGAGAGGAGGTGTGTTTCAGGACACGGATTATATTAAATTTAACAGGGAGGGTGAATAGTAAATTTCTGTACACACAAACACAAGCTTTTTGTCAGGAATGCCCGTGCGGTCACTGATCCATCAATGTAGAAAAGTGATGTAAAATTATAATTTTCGTTATTAGAAAAAAAAATTACATACTAACATCCAGGAAAACTCCCGATCATAGATATACGTGTATGTATATGTGTATATTTCTGGCTTTGGATGGCCACAGTCCTCCACTGTACCTTGGTCCCGCATTCATTTCAAAGGAGCGCTACCCTGTAGCAAGATGGCGGCGCTATTGACGCATTCCGCCCAATAGACAACAATAGGCCAGGCGACATCTAGTGTATATATCTATGAATACTTTGTATAGATTATACACATGTTGGTAGACTAATTATCTCAGACAAACACTGCAATGCTTTTTAGTTTTCTCCATAAATAAAACTTGTATCAGAGTTGCAGCAATGTTTTGTCAGCTTGTCATTCTCTGAGAAAACGGTTGATGGTCAACTAGCAATTAACGTACACACCACCCCTCAACCCCGCAGTGATAAAAAGGTTGTGGACCACTGCTCTGAAGAGTTTGTTTGCCCACTCTTTACATTTCATTAGATTTATCAGGTCAACTTAATGCCACCATTTGACTTAAAAATGAAAGAACTTTCCACCACTATCCAAAGCCTTCAAGTAAACACTTCGATATGACTGACAGTCTTCATTTAAGAGCATGTAAATGACTGAACCTGTTGTAAAAAGTCAAACACCACCTCTTTACCTCAAAGTGCCATTAAAAACCATTATATGACTTGAGGACTGCATTCACGTGTCAGAAATGAGGAGTTACAGTCTCAAAGTTGAATGCAAAAGCATGAGCAATGAGTGTTGCTGCCTTGGTGCTAAAAAGAAAAGAGACAAGCATGAACACAACAACCGATAGCGTACTCCAGAGAGTCATATTAAACATTGACAGGTTAGCCAAGCGCAGTTTGCTTCGGGTCGCCGTATAGCTGATCTGGAGCCCTAAGGGACGCCTTCTCCTCGCACAAATTAATACCTTCGAGAGGCAGACTGAACGGTGGCAATAAACTCATTTGTTCCCCAAATAATGAAGAATGACTTCCCCCCCTCCAATCCCCTACGACCACCACCAGTACTTTGGTCCTTGGCACATCTGTGACTGTTGCCATGGCGACCTGGTCTTACCTCACCGCTTCGCGAAGTGCTCCACGCTCACTCAGAGTCGTGTGTTTGATGTCATCAAAATTGTTCTCCAGCTTCACGCAGCTCTGCAAAAGAGAGAAAAAGAGAGAGAGAATGAATGAATGCATTTATATAATGCTTTTAATGTGTTTTGCTGTACACCGAAAGCACTTTACAATCAAATAAGGGAGTCTCTCTTCTCCACCACCACCAGAAATATGCAGCATCCATCTGGATAATGCAACGTCAGCCACAGCACGAGGGTGCAAGTGCGCTCTACACACACTAGCCATAGGTAGAGAGGACAGATTGTGACAGAGCCAATCCAATGGATGGGGATTATTAGGAGGCCATAACAGGCATGAGGAGATCGAGGGAATTTGGCCAGGGCACCAGTGTTACACCATAACTCTTTATTAGAAGTGCCATGGGATTTTAATGACCACAGAAGCTCAGTTTGGTCCTGAAGTGCCATTGCCCGACAGTTAAACCTTCTTGTCTGGAACTTTGCTGTGACCCTAGTGAGAACCTGACTGTCTGCTGTGCAGTGGTGTAAAGTGACAAATTACTACTACTCCAATTACTGTAATTGAGTGGTTTTTCTCAGAAATTGTAATTTACTAATTTAAAAAATGTGTACTTTTACTTACCCTTGAGTTCATTTTTAGTGCTGTATTGGTACTTTTACTCCACTGTTTTTCTTCAAACTGCAGTCAATATTTTTTCTTGTCTATAGTGATTGGCTAAAGTAGAAAAATCAGTCCTGTCATTCCTGTCCAATCAAATCGCACATACAAAGTAAATCGCATCATCCTGAACAACCTCAAGACATGGGTGCTTTATAACTGCAGCAAACATTTTGGAAGCAATTAAATGTCCAAAAAGATGTGCAAAACCTTTACATGCAATAACTCATTACATGCAATGAGACTTTTCATAGACGGCATGAGAAAATGAAGGATGACTTAAATTGCCAAAGAGTCTTAAACAATCTCTAAAAGCAACAAATGAAAAATGGAAGGACCGAATGAAGAAAAGATCGAACAATGTATAGAAGGAAAGTCCGAATAAAGGAAGGACCAAACTAATGAAGGAAGCAAGGAGCAAATGAATAAAGGAAGAATTCAAAGAAGGATTGAACAAACAAAGGAAGGAAGGAAGGAACGTACGAACAAACGAATGAACAAACGAAGGACCTAATGAAGGAAGGAACAAGAAAATGACCGAACAAACTAATGAATGAGCAAACGAAAGAAGGACCAAATGAATAAAGGAAGGATGGAAGAACAGAACAAACAAAGAAAGCAAGGGAGGAACAAACAAAAGAATTAACAAAAAAGGACTTAATGAAAGAAGGAACAAAATTATGAACGAACAAACAAATTAATAAGCGAACAAATCAAGGAAGGAACGAAGGAAGGAACAAATGAATGAAGGAAGGAACGAACAAATGAATAAAAACAGGAAGGACAGAACAAACAATGGAAAGGTTGAAAGGAACGAATGAATATAGGCAGATCACTACATCCACTACAGAATGTTACGTTTGCACATCCCTGCACAAACTGAATGTAAACATATCAACTTTTCACAGTGTAATACTCACTACTCACTCCTCTTGAGTACTTTTAAAAGGGCTACTTTTTACTCATACTTTAAGTAATATTTCCAACAGATACTTTTCATATACTTGCACTACATTTTTGGGCAAGTCATGATACTTTTAATTGAGAATGATTTTACAGTACTCTTTCCACCACTGCTAGTGTGTTTAATTAGGGTAGGAGCTAAAATATCCAGGACAGTGACCCTCCAGAGGCAGAATTGAACCTTCCTGGTAAATTGTCTGTTTCTCAATATGCATCCTTAAGCAGTCTTGCATCCTTGTGTGCTCGTGTAACGTCATCATCAACCGCCAAAATTCAGTTACAAAACTGAAGACCGCAAGAACAGAAGACCCGTGACAGAATCTGATGTGTTCCTAATATGGATGCATCGATGCAGACTTGAGCGCAGTACTCGCTCTAGAAGTCCCAGAGGTCACTGACGCTGAATAAAGTAGGTGAAGCGCAGCATTTTATTCCTGTTTATTATCAAAGTTCAGAGATATTTATTTATCTCAGAAGATTCCCTAAACAACACAGTAAAAGTAAACATTAACATGAAAATCGTAACAAATGAATAAACACATTAAGGGTGTTTATTTGTTGAATTTTATATTAAAATTGGTTTGATTTCTAATATGTGTTTGTTGTATATATGCTTTAATGTTTAAATAATTATCCCTGCGCCAAACTCTGCAGAGTCTAAAAAACCCTGTCAAACTCTGCAGAGTTTAGTTCCAACCCTGCTCTAACAAACATGTAGGTTTTAAACAAGCTCAATTTGTTTGATCAGGCAGGTTTAATTATGATTAAAGCTAAACTGTGCAGAGCTATGACCCTCCAGAGAGACCCTCGATTTGACCAGGGTCCTACGGTATAGTGTAGGAATGCACTTAAATGAATATTCCAAGCAGAAACAAACATTTCTGGATGCACTCAGGCAAAAACTGCAACCAAAACTGAAAAATTGTTGTTTATCCTAAATTAATTGAATCATTTAAATAAGATTTATTAAAAACAAGCCAATAAATAACAATTTTTTATTGAAATAAAAATTGTGCTGACAATGAGCAACTGAGAAGGGTAATTTCACCAGTCATGACAGCATAGTAACGCTATTGCAAGCAGAAGGAAAAATTATTCTACACAGAAATGTCCTGTCAACACATTATTATAAGCAACTTTGCTTTTCCATACATACATACATACACATATATATATATGTATGTATGTATGTGTGTGTGTGTGTGTGTGTGTGTGTGTGTGTGTGTGTGTGTGTGTGTGTGTGTGAGTGTGTGTGTGTATATAAACAGTTAAAGTCAAAATTATTAGCCCTCCTGAATTATTAGACCGCTTGTTTATTTTTTTCCTCATTTCTATTTAATGGAGAGCAGATTTCTTCAACACATTTCTAAACATAATAGTTTTAATAACTCATTTCTAATAATGGTTTTATTTTATCTTTGCCATGATGACAGCAAATAATATTTTACCAGATATTTTTCAAGACACTTCTATACAGCTTAAAGTGACATTTAGTCTTAACTAGGGTTAAGGTTAGGGTAACTAGGCGAGTTAGGATAATTAGGCAAGCTATTGTATAACGATGGTTTGTTCTGTAGACTATCGAGAAAAAAATAGCTTAAAAATGCTAATAATTTTGCCCCTAAAATGGTGTTTAAAAAAATTAAAACTGCTTTTATACCAGCTGAAATAAAACAAATAAGACTTTCTCCAGAAGAAAAAATATTATCAGACATACTGTCAAAATTCCCTTGCTCTGTTAAACATCATTTGGAAAATATTTTTAAAAAAAAATTTAAGGGGGCTAATAATTCTGACTTCAACTGTATGTTTATATGTATATGTATATACTGTATATATATATATATATATATATATATATATATATATATAACTACATCTCTGCCTCATTCAAACCTCAAGCACATTGTATAAAGGACGCACTACATGATTTTGGAAAATTACGGGGTTTAAATACAGAGGGAACCCTTGCTTGGTTTCTACTGAATAGAAAAATTCTTCAGGGCTATGTGATTGATGTGAGCTGTCAAATTGTGAGTAGAGACTAACTGTCACCTGGAATCTTGGTAAATAAAAAAAAAATATTCATGGTCAAGTTTGCATGTGAAATTGCATTACACATTGTTGTACGTTTTCCCAACATACACGCATGGCTTGAGTTTGAAGTGTGTTTCAGCTTCACTTTCCGAAAAAAAGAGCTGATAAAGACAATCTCCAACACCATCCATCCATCCATCCATCCATCCATCCATCCATCCTTCCATCCATTACTTTGTTATTCTTTCATCCATTCTATCTACTGTTGTAGTATTTGTTTGGTTGTTTGTTCTGTTTATCGCTTCATCATTTGTTCCATCGCTTCATCATTTGCTCTGACATCCGTTTTATTGTTTGCTCCATCAATTTCTAACTATGTAGCCTTATATACGTTTCTGGAGATTGTGAAATATGTAGCCAGAGGAACGTGTGGCTGCATTGCATCTTTAAAACGAATGGGGCATTATGACGCCATTCCTTTAAGCACCTACCAGCTGACCACTTACCTACGTGTGGACGACTTTTTCGCTGTTACCAGTTTTTTCGGTGAAAAATCTGTAAAACCTAAAAAAAAAATTATTATATTATTATTAATAGTATTATTATTATTATTATTATTTTATTATTATTAGCAATTAATATGGTTTTTGTTGTTGTTTTTGTTAATATTATTATTACTATTATTATGATCATTGTTGTTAATATTATTATTATTAATATTATTTTATTGTTATTATTATTATTATTATTATTATTATTATTAATATGATTATTATGATTATGATTATATTATTATTATGGTTATTATTATTATTATTATTATTATTAGTAGTATTATTTATATTATTATTGTTATTATTTTATCGTTGTTGTTATTATTATTATTATTATTTATATTATTATTAATATTATTAATATTATTATTATACTTGTTGTTGTTATTATTATTGTATTGCAATAGTATTTAAATTGTGTATAAAAGGTAAAAAAATAAAAGGAAAAAAAAATGGGAATTCGAGCAATTGCTCGAGCACAAGTTGTTTTTTTTTGTATTCAGGTTTGCATGCTTGATGGTTTTTGCGCATGTGCGTCACTTAGATGATAATGTGGTCTAAATCTGGAGTACCGGCCAGCGGAAATTGTGTCTCCTTGTAATTACCTACTTGTCTGTACCAGCAGGTTTCATTCAAACTCCGCAACCACCCTTCAGGGGTCAGGGGCTTTTGAGGGGTCGATTGCCATGACAACTACAGTCCGAGCCCTAGAACTCTTCGACATTTCATACCAGCCCAGCAGTAGTTCACCATGTCACATCTGATGAATCACGCGGCACAAACCCTGCCAGTGCACTACAATCTGCATGAGAGCACTGAGGAACAGTCTCGCTGATGATGTTTGAG